AGATATGTTATGCAACAAATTCTACAGAAGAACCCATCGCAATGCTCCCGGGAAAAAACCAACAAAATCACAACATGACCCGGGGAAGTCTCGCGCGAAGAACATGAAGGGAAGACTGACACGCAATGGAACATCATCAAATTTGCGGCAATGCGTGCAGACAACGACGAGTGAGTCAAAGAGATTACAGAAGAAACAGACCAATAGTTGGATCAGGTGTTGCAACACATGTCAGAGGAGCACAGGTTGAGAGTTGAGACAGTAACCGAAGTATGGTGACGCCATGAGGGAATTCAGACGATGAATGGAGGAAGTGCTGAGAAGGATGAAGAGATCAAGAAGTTGGAAGGGTAATGATGCCACGAAAATCACAAAAACTTTGGGGCCATGGAGCATGTGTGCAACGTATGTGCATGGTATCACACGCTGATGTACGCAGGCCCAAATACAGAGCCAAAAGAGGCGCTCGCATTTTTGAGAGTGGCAAAAAAACGATCAATGTCACTGTGGTTTTTGTGCGCCCACCTGACTGACGTGTATGGTTTCTGGTTCTTATTATTTTTTGCATGTTTTCGTTCAACAAATTTTTACTGTTTTTGTTTGTTTGTTTGTTTGTTTGTTTGTTTCGTCACAGTTCACATTTTTCCTTCCAGTATTGAAGTGGTTTCGTTTAGTTTGTTGAGTCACGTGGTTGAGTGTGTCAGTCACGTTGTGGACTCTACCTATTCAACAACTGTCACACGTGTCCTGTTTGATGTTGCTTGGGCTTGCTGCGTCACGATTGTTTTTTTGCGCGCAACTTCCTACTGTTGTGGCCGCAACGAGTCCTCAATTGGTTTTTGGGTTCGTATCTTTAACCGATTGATCCCCAACTTCACAACCCGGCAAACTTGGTTGAGTGGCCTCTGCCAGCTTTTGCATAAACAGGGTCAAACAAGGCTGAAAGAGTTATTCCGCAAAGTCCAAGAACCACTGGAGTCAACTTAATTGTTTTTGGTTTGACGAAGGGTTTTTGCGACATCAACCTTCTACATGAACATCTTGACTCTATTTTATTTGCTTTGGGTTGTTTGGGATTTCGTGTTCACGTTCCTTCCGATTTCGTGGCTCACAGCGCTGGGGGTCCCAAAGTTCGAACACAGTCCTTGGAGCCTTGGCGCAATGAAAGGCGGTAAACGGAGCCAGGGAGACCCTGGGTTTGCTTTTTCACAGTCCCGGACTTTTGGGTTGGCTTTTTGAGCCGGAGTACGAGGCCCGTCTCTTGTTTGCACCGTTTTGAGGGTGAAGTCGAGCACACAAAACGGGTGGCCTTGTCGTTGGTGCGATCCGGTCCATTCGTGACTTCCGTCCACCCACTCGGTGCCTTTTCAGATCGCTTCTGAGGAGAAGATGAAGAAGGGCCGCGCAGCGAAGCAATGTAAGATGAGGCGAACGGTTTTTGGGCGCCGTCTGAAGGTTCCAACTTGTTGCCCCTCAGATGTGATAGGGTAGTGCATGAAGGTTTTGCCCAATAGGTTGTGGGTCCAAAACAACTCTTGCCCAAATCTAGCTCTTCTGCCATTATTACCACCACCACCACGACTACTACTACTACTACAACAACAACAACTACTACTACTACTACTACTATTATAACTATAACTATAACTATAACTATAACTACTACTATAACTACTATAACTATATACTTTTTCGGTGTTGGGGCGCTAACCAAAAGGCGAATTCCATCGACCGAGCAGCAACCGTGGTTGGCTTCGTGTCGCTGGGCGCGCGAGACCTTCTGCGTCGCAGGATGGCGCAGGGTTGCAGCGTGGCGACCTTGCTGAACTGCGCCGACAACAGCGGAGCCAAGAATCTCTACATCATCGCTGTCGGGCGACCGAGCCGGTCTCTTTCTCCTTCCTCTCGAAGAAGGGGCGGTTTAAGAAGCAGTGTTACGAGTTCTATACCTATTTCAGCACATCTTTTTGGGGTGTCCGTTTGTTCCCACTTCAACCGAACCTCTGCCTTCGCTCCGCCCCCGCCGGCGCGGAGCGGAGCAGAGAGCCGAGGTCATCGGCATCGGCGGACGCTTGAACAAGCTCCCAAACTGCTCCCCGGGCGACCTGGCCAGAGACCTCGGTGACAGAAGAACTGGGGTGATGGGGTGATTTTGTCAACTCAGAGCAATTGATAAGGTCATTCACAAGTCTTATATAAGCTTTTGTAATGCATCCATGTCATCCATGTCATTTGTGTCCTCCTGGATTCTTTTTGTTCTGAGGTGCTTTGCAGTGTGAAGAAGGGAAAGCCTGAGTTGAGGAAGAAGGTGCTCAAGGGTGCCAGGGACCCCAGAACTGAGTTGCTCGTGTGGCCCGATCTTGGCATGTTGCCAAATGGTAGTCCCTTTTCGTTCCTTTGCATGGTGAGAAGTCTGAAGAAGAGGAGACCCTGAAGATGTTTGCCCTTCGCCCAGCCCGTCTCCGGCCCTGCCCCTTCTGCTTTGAAGAACCGTCTCCGGCGATCTTGGACGGCGGTTTTCCGGTGCTTTGGAACTGATCTGAGGTGGTGATCCGACAGAAGAAGGCCTGGAGGAGGCGTGAAGGTGTCTTCGTCTACTTCGAGGAACGGGCACCTTCACGCACGGGTGAGAAAGAGGAGTCTGACCGAGATGGAAGACCCCTGGTGGCCTGAGACTTTCTTTTTCTTTATTACAGAGGCGTTTTGGGCTTGGCCTGAGACCGGCAAGGAGAGACTTTCGTGGATTGAGAGAGGGGAGGAAGAGAATGAGATGTGGCAGATAGCACAATCCGATTCGTACAGTTGGTTTTTGTTCGATTCATGGCTTGCATTTCATGGTGGATATTGGAGAAACATATACAGCAAACGAACTGATTTGCCTTCTTTGCCCAACGTCTTGAGGGAGTTCCTGGGGTCCAGGACAATGCGGGCGTCATCGTGAACGACAAGGGGGAGATGAAAGGTTCTGCCATCCAGGCAGGACGATGAACGGTTTGATCCGATCATTGGACTCTGCAGTCTGGGCTGAGATCCGACCCCACCCAAAAGACTACCACCACGGATCCCCACAAACCCAAAGATCATTGAACCCCAATTTCCTTTTCCTTTTGGAGTGGACTGGTCAAGCCTGCAGGGCCCGGTGGCGAAGGAGTGCGCGGAGCTCTGGCCGAAGATCGCCTCCTGCGTGGGGACCGCAGGGGGTGTGTCGGTCGTGCAGGGACCGACCGAGTGGGACGAGACGGGGAAGTATTAGTATGTTAGCTTGGTTTGAGACTCGCAATTGCTTACCCCGCTCAAAACTAACATGGACCCTGAAAACTGCGAGCTTTAGAAGGAAAACAGTCTTTCAGGGTGCCATTCTCAGGGTCATTGTTGGTTTTCGGGAGTGTATATCGAACCATGGCGGGAAGGCGAGAAGGATTGATCTTCGCTGCTCGCTTCTCCCGCCCAGGCTCCAGCCATTTGCTGAGCGGTCGACCAGCGCTGATTGCGGAGAAGAGATTGCTGGAATTGGGGGACATGAGTTTTAGGTCAAAGTAGGAGACCCCCCCAAAATCTTATATGAGCACCTACCGTGGGCTTTGACCCATTGACGTGTCTCAGAATCTATCCATTGGAATGTTGCTTTGAAGGCACTTCAACTGAAGATTTTGGCAGTTACCGGAAGAATGGTCACTTCTTGCAAGCTTTGAGCCGAAGAATATCAGCGAAGATCTTGAAGTTGCTTGCAGACTCAAGGGAAGAACCTGTGTCGATTCACAGAACTTGCCCATAGAATCCGTCTGATCCCACCACTCAGCACCTTGGCTCAGCTAGCTTCGACCACCTCTTCGACCACATCACCATGAGCCGCCGTGCTTCTTGGATGCAAAAAAACCGTGCCGCACGCGGATCCTTTTTAGGGAGAGGCGATCGATCGGGGGGCCGTTTCTTGGGGGGCCCGAAAGCACTCCTCCACTAGTCCAACTCGACGTTCTGAAGCACAAGTGAGGCTGGTTCCGGATTTGTGGTGCTGGGAGCCCTGGCTTGCATGCTTTGGGGTCCCAGCTTCACTGGATATGCGCCGAAGAGACAGGAGAGCGCAGTGGTGAGAATGGCCGGATCTTCCAAGTGGGTGAACCCCATCGACCCTGAGATGTCCCACCCCAGCGGTCTCTACGTGCTCCCCATCAAGCCTGCAAAGAAGCAGGAGAACTATGTCTACACTTGGAAGAATGACAAGAATGGAGTCATTCAGGACTTCATGCGAGTGCCTTATGACAAGAACGAGCGTGCCGGGGACTTCTATGCCAAGCGAACGGCCAACGGATGCTGGGACCACTGGGGCCCTAGCGGCGAGGGAGAGGCAGCATGAGTCTTTTTGGCCGGGAGCTTTTGATCCACAAAGTGGGCAGCTGTGATGGAGACGCGTCC